GCGGAGCAGGGAGGGTCGGCGGAGCGGAGCGCCGGCCCAGGCGGGCGCGGGCACTAATCCCTGCCTCTCTCTCTGTCTCCCGGTGTCTTTGCTCCGCCCCTGCCCCCCGGACGCAGGAGGAGAACGACCCCAGCGCGGAGCGGCCACCCGGTGACCATGCCCCGGTGAGGGGGTCGGACTTCGAGGGCAAGTCGGCGCGGACTACTGGGGGCATAGCCGGCGAGCGGCCGGGGGCCCGGAACTGCACGGCGAGGCCCGGCGGGGGGCTGTCGTCTATGTCTTCTTGGGGCGCACGGAGGATCGGGGTCTCACTTGTGCCGGAAGAGCCCAGCGCCGGTGGCTTCAGGTGGCTGCCGCCGCCGCCGCTGCTGGTGCTGTTCCCAGCGCTCGGGAGAAGAGCCGAGACGGGCGAGCGGGGAGACCTCCAGGGCGGCGAGGCATCGGACATGTGTCAGCACATCTGGGGCGCACAGCCGTCCAGCCCGAGGGGAGATTTGCCGGAACAATTCAAACTGCGCTATTGATCTTGGGGGTGACTGTCCCCGGCCGCCGGCTGTCGGGTGGGCGTGCGAGTGTGCGCTCGGGAGTGTGTGTATGTGTGTGCCGTGTGGGGCTCCCCCCTTCCCCCCTGTTTTCCCGTCGAGTGATGCACTTGGAATGAGAATCAGAGGATGGAAATAGTCTGGGAGGTGCTTTTTCTTCTTCAAGCCAATTTCATCGTCTGCATATCAGGTATGGGACGCTCTGGAGTCGCGGGCGGGTGTGGGTTGTACTGGGTTGTTTGCGGTGTATGAGGCTTTATCGTGTGTAGACAGTGGAGTATCCTCGTGGGGCGGGAGGGGAGGGGAGGTGGTAGAGACCTTTTCAGCTCTGCGGGTTTGCCGCCTTTAGAATGAAAGATAGGGTGTGTGGGGGGTGTGTGTGTGTGAGTGAGAGAGAGAGAGTGAGTGTGTGTGTGTTTGGGGAGGTAGGATTTGCGTGGAGTTCAGTGGGGAGAAGGGCTGGGGATGAGAAAGAAGAGGCAGATGGGTGTTGATTTTCAACTGCTTTCCTGGCTGAGAACTCTGGCGCCGAAATATGAGCCTTGGCAACCCCACCCCACCCCCATCTCCTGGCTTTCAAAGTTCCCAAACTCGGTGGTGGTTCCTGGCTGGCAAAATGGACGCAGAGCCGTGCCCTGATATCTAGGCACTTGGCTGGAGACTGCGGGAGGATGCGGGATTGAGAGTTCCAGCAATCAGGCACCAGGGTGATGTAGTCCATCCACGCTTGTGATGGTCTGCAACCTGGTAGCACAGCCCCTTGGCCCACAATAAAAGAACTACCCATCTGAAACGACGGTGCTGTAAAGATCATTCCAGATCCTGGTCTGTCTGAATTCCCAGTGACAAGGGTTTCCAGGCTCTCTGGTCTTGAACTTTTGTGCCAGGCTGTGGTGGTTGTAGGGAACAAATGGGACCTCAAGGTATTGAAATGAAGACAGAGATGGTGTCATCTATGTGTTGGGGGTGAGTTTCTCATTTCAGAGCAGTGTCTTTGTCGGTTTGGGACGGTGGTTGGGGCCAAGGACCAGTGAGGGGAAGCCTAGGACCAGCAGTATCCCCGCCTTCACTTCAGGGACTCCGCCCATTAACATTGCCCACCCCACTTCCCTTCACACCTGCCATTTAAGCATGGAGGGTAAAGCCCATTTGCGGTGTTCCCTGTCTGCATTCTCTCTGCAGAACTGTGGATTCAGCCAACTTCCCATGAAGTCACTGTAAGGGCAGAACAGAGACAGTGCCCCTTGGAGCAGACACATTGGAACAGCCCTGTCAATTCCCACCCCTTAACCCAGCCCTAATTCAAGGTAGTCTTAACTTGGTTGGACCTAGTCCAAATCCCACTTAGATTTCAGCCTTCTCCTCTTTGGACGGGAATGGGGAACTGGTCACCCTCGTAAGATGTTTACATCTTGCAATAAAGTGAGCTATATTATGTACCCCAGCTCTTCAAGAGGGACTACTTTTCCTGAATTAATGAGGGAAAATTCCCTGGTGGTTTAAGATTAATATTAGCTACATGGTCAACAGTATACTGGGTAACATCTCATTTGTTTCATTTCTACGTTTTTCTCTTCTCTATGTATTTCAAATTCTCTTATTCTAGAATGTATTTGGTTAGAAAATAGACTTCCTCTACCTTTCTCCATCGTCATAATTTATAAAAACAACAACAACAACAAAAAAACCCAAACAAATGCCAGACGCAGCCATCTGAACCCTTTTAAAATTTGCAGCATGTTAGCTTTAATTGAGGCTCTGGATTCCTCCCTCCTTTCCTAACTACCCCCAGCCCCAGCATCTTCTGCGACCTACCCTGAATTCTTTTCATGCAGTCACACAGGAACCAGCTGAGAGGAGATCTTGTTCTTAGCCTCCAAAAGAGGTATTCATGGGATACCTGCCACTGCTGTATTTTGATTTGGTGTATCAGCAACTAAATTATTTATATGGAAGCATTAGGAGGGGGCTGTCTCCAACCCAGGAGGGGTACTCGGGAGTGCATGGCCTTTTGCATGCATTTAGTAAATAATCATCCTTGCTATGTAATGAGGAGGATGAAAGTGCAAGCAGAATTGCTAGCTGTTTGCTAAACACAGAAAACTGGGTTAGCGTTCCAAATGCCTAGTTAAGAGCTGCATTAATTTGCACTTTATGAAGACATTTAGGCAGAGATGCAGCACTAGGCACTCTGTATTTACACAACCCATGGATTTAACTTCAAAAGGCCATTTTCCCTTCCTGGCCAAGGTGCCCTCCTCCCTCCATAGGCACAGCTACTCACTCAGTGATGCCAAAGGACGTCAGGACGATGATTAGTAATATAATTATGACTCAAAATTGCCGTGGATTGGGGGACACAGGATCCTCCTTATTCCTCTGTGACAGCTTATGAGCTGGGCATGTGAGGCGCTAAGGCTGAGGAAGTATGGCTCAGGGAGAGTTTAGTGGGGCTTTCATTTCTGTAGTTCCCATGATTTGCAGTTTTAATTTACTCACGCCTGAGCTTTACCATGAGGAGCATAACCTTGCGTTCACAGACCCTACTAAATCTTTTTTAAAAATAAAAAATTTAAAACAAAACACCTCTCTGCCATCCTAGGTGGAAGCACTCTACACACCCAGTAAATGAGTGCTGCTGTGTCCTGGGTCACCAGGTATCAGTGATGCATGCTTCAGTAGGATTGGCTTCATTTCTGAGGAAGACCGAGCTAAAAGAGGCCAGCAGGAGCCTGTCGTGTAAACATATTGTAGAAGGAAAATGTTGGAAGTTGAATTGGTTTCTGGAAGGTATATCAGCATTTTCATTCAGAAGCACTCTAGTGCTTTGTAGCTTGGTGTTTATTAGCCAGAGGTTCCTCCCCATACCACAACCCTCCTGCCCTGAATCAAAATAATACCCAAAGAGTTCTCCCTCTGGACCTGTTTGAATATATTGCCTAAAAACTGAGACCTAGCCTTGGTGTATTTGGTGAGTGCACTCATTATTTGGTTCTGGTGGGGCTGGAGGACTGTGTAGCCAGGCTTAGTTTGCTGCTGGGTTGAGGACTATGTGTCTTCCATTTGAAAGATGACATCAATTTGGGCTACTTAATGGTAGCAGGGCTCAGCTAAAGAGGGAAGGCTGGGACCTGGGATTTCCTTTTGGCTCCCATTAAACTCAGATCTCATTTTACTGAAAGTGTTTGGTACCTAGGATCTGTGAAGGGCCCAGAGAAAGAGGGAGAGAGAGACAGAGAGAGCAAGCCCGTCAGGCTGATTTTTCTCTGTGCCAGCAAGAACACCATTCTCTTGCTACAAAAGCAGTACAGATCAGCGAGAATGGATGCCTCACAGCTCAGGGAGAGAATTTTCCTGGTCAAAAGACATCTGCCTGATTCCTTTTACAGGATCCATCCTACTTCCCCCTTATGTAACTTTTCTTCTTTGTCAGTTTATTCATGCTAACAGCAGCAGCTCTGACAATCTGAATTCTGTGGTACTTTCATATTTTGTACATATTTTGAGTCATTTCTTTGGAGAATTTGTGGGGTGATTTTATAAATGAGACAATCCAAATTTAGATGTTCCCCCTGAAAGAAACACACCCAGGTTTAAGTGAGTCAAAAATCCAGTGTGCCTTTTTTGTTCTCAAGATTCCTTTCAGGTGCTTTTCTTTCTTTTTGACTTAGAGTTTAGTATTTTCAAATGAGAGAGCACATTTGTGCAAGTCTCAGAGGGTTCGAGGAGTGGGAATTCAAGGTGATGATAGTTGGAAGCTTGAACTAAGGTAGTCTTTGGCACCTCGAGGACTCTGTCCATCACAAAGATGGGAGGAGTATTGAGGTTCCCTCCCAGTGTCCTGTGATCAGCAGTCCCCACAGCCACAGAATATTACCTGCATTCTTTTTCTTGTCTGAAGAGGAACATTTTTTTTCTCTCCATTGCTTAATGAAACCAGCAGAGTTGTGCGCACCCTGTGTTTGTAACAGAGGTTAAAGGAGATGATGAGTGTGATGTGCTTCACTTTAGCACACTGTCTGGCACAGAGCTCCCCTACACGTCTGAATGTAGGTTTTTGATTCCGTGGCAGGGCAGAGCTCTTGAGCTGAATGGAAATCCAAAGTCTCTGTAAACTTTCACTAAAATTAATTAATAAAAAATTATAATTAAAAAAACCAGCAAAATTAACACAAACTAACCTTGGCTCCATGGTCAACACTCTTGACACCAGTAGCCAGGAAATCAAAAAACGTATTGCCATGGCAAAGTCTGCTGTTAGGAAACTCTCCAGGGTACTGAAGAGCAATAGTGTCACTCTGGAGACTAAGGTGCATCTCATACAGGCTATGGTCTTAGCAATCACTTGTTATGTATCAGAGAGTTGGACAATGACTAGGGAGGATAGAAGGAGAATTGATGCCTTTGAGCTGTGAGGCTGGAGAAGAGTATTGAATGAACCCTGGACTGCCAAGAAAACAAACAGATTCATCCTGGAGAGGGTTAAACCAGGCTGCTCCTTGGAGGCAAGTATTCTGGGGCTTCATCTGACATACTTTGGACATGTTGTAAGGAGGGAGAGGTCCTTGGAGAGGGACATCATGCTTGGAAGGGTGGACGGACAGCACAGGAGAGGAAGACCCTCTATGAGGTGGATTGATTCAGTGACTAGGGTAATTGGGATGGGTGTATCAGAGACAGTGCAAATGGCACAGGATAGAGCAGGGTTTAGGGCTATTGTACATAGGGTCGCTATGAGTCGCAAGCAACTCGACGGCACATAACAACAACAGCAACATCCATCATTGGCGACATTTTTAACACCATTGAGCACGTGCCTCGCTGCCCGAGTGGCCTAGGTTGAACAATGTTGAAAGTGCCTCTTCATTTTCCTTCTCACGCAAACAAGACAGGTGGTGTGGGCTCCAGTGCAGTTGTGAGTCTAACCCACTTTATCCCTGAGATCTTACTATTGGAATGGGGCTGGGAAAGTGGAACAAATCATCTGGAAACAAGCTAGGACTTGCCACCCCGAGATCAATAGAATTTCTTTCCTTCTGCTTATATGTCACAACTCATGTAGGCTTGTCCTTAAAATGTTTCCAAAATGACAAGCTGTGTATATTGTCAGTATGGCTTGAAATGAGACGCTGCCTTGAATGAAAGTGTCCTCAACAACAAAGAACACTTCTCTGATTTGCTCATAGGAAA